CAGGGGACAATCAGACCACAGACAGGTGAGCTGCCTCCTGTGGAGTTGGCCTCTGGGACCAGACTGTGGAACAGGGGCTCCTGGTTGGCAGGGATACTAGAGTTGAGGCTGTTCTTCATGTCCAAGTGGGAAGCATAGGTTGAAGGAAATTATGAAACCTGTACAGAAAGTTAAAGTGCCTCCCACTTGATCCTGGGGGTACAGAGGGGAAGCTGCGGGGGTGGCTAGTACATCTGGAGATCATAAGGCATAAAGTATGAGTAGGAGGGAGGGAGGGAGAAAACAGGTGGGAGAGATAAGGCTCTGGGTCCATCTTCCTTTCCTCCATTGAGATGGAGCACCATGCTCGGTGGAGGGCTTGACCTCCTCTTCCCTGTTCCCTCTTCTGATGCAGCCATCTAGGACTACACTGCCAGCTTTCTCAGGACTGTGTTAAGTACGTGAGGAAGGATGCATCTCCTCCCAGCAGAGGGCGCACAACATCACAGAGACGTGGGAGAGAGCCGCGCATTCTCCCCTAGACATCTGCACATTCGTGAGAAAGGCATCCTTGGAATGAGGGGGAGACCCAAGCAAGGTGACCATCAACAACGGGGAAGCTTGGCAGATGGCTCAGTCACTAAAGGGTTTGTTGTGTAAGCATGAGGACTTGAGTTCAGTGCCCAGAACCCACGTAAAAAGCCTTATGATTTTGGTGCTGAGGAGAGAGAGAGACAGGAGGATCCTTGGGGCGTGCTGGTCAACCAGTGAACAGCCCAATCAGCAGGCTCCAAACCAATGGGAAACCCTGTCTCAAAGGGGGAGAAAAAAGAGTAGATGACATCCTGAGGGATGATACCTGAGGGTGGCATCTGGTTTCTGCATACATCGAGAGAGAGAGAGAGAGAGAGAGAGAGAGAGAGAGAGAGAGAGAGAGAGAGAGACTGCATCTGGGTCCATGCTCAGAAAAAGTGTAAAAGGGAAAGATTTTGAGTGCATTCAGAGCATGTTCAAATATATATTCTCTCTCATACACACACACACACACACACACATACACACACACACACACACACACACACACACGATCTAGGAATAAAGAAGATCTAACTAAAATCCTCAGGCCCAGACAAGGTCATGACTGGAGGAATAAATAGATGTCTTCTCTGCCCTCCATCAATTCCTATTGAACAAGCCAAGATGGCTGTGGTCTTGTATAGAACAATGTGTTTGTTACAACAAAGGTCATTCCTGTAACCTTAACACCCATGAGGCTTAGTTGTCAAAGTTCATCACGTGACTCTGTCGTGCATTATTTAATCATAAGACTTTATAAGCCCTGGGGCGTGGTCTTCTCCAGTCCTCTATGTGTTCCTCTCATGAACCCTCAGGCTAAGTGTAGCCTTGAGCCAAAGCTGGGCTTCTTCCAGGGTCAGCCAAACCCTTGCTCAGGGCTCCCCTGGTCTGTCACCCCCTGTGGGCACCAGCCCTCTCCTGATGCTAGAGCTTAATCAAGTAACAATGCATTTAGTGTCTAGGTCACTTTGCCCTTTTCAAGTGACTGCTTTTGCAAAGGATTCTCACAGACATTATTTTACTTACAGCCCAAGTTCTTTGTAAGAATTAATAGCATGTAGCTATGTGCATATACACATTGGTCATTTTCTACCATTTCAACATGCTTCCCCCCAAATTTCTCTATAAAATGGAATAGCTTCAAATTAGTAGTCTCCTGACAACTCCCACCATCTCCTAGGTCACCCACCATTCCCCTGGATTCTCGTATGTAGTATACACTGACTGGTCTCTTGACTAAAGTCTACATATTTCCGAATCTGCACTGTGTGGCCACCCGACACACTCCAGTTTGCGAAGCTGGCTTGCCTGCATTCCCCCATGATTGACAACCTACAGTCTACTTCCTTAGTGCTCTCCACCCCTCTCACCCCCACCCTCCCATCCAGGACCTCAGCCTTTCCCTCCAGAAGTGGTTGGTTGTCAGCCAGCTAAGCCAGGGACAGAAATGTGTTTCCTGCATCTCTTATGGAGGACTCTAGATTCTTATTTCCTCTCCATTGCCTTCATTTATATTACTACCACCCTCTTAATTACTCATTTATAATGGCTCTACGTCTAGGACGCCCAGTTTGCCTTTTCATTTTTCTTTTCTCCACATATTTTCTGGGCTGGGTGGAGTGGCATTCAGGAAACTGAGGCAGAAGTTCAAGGCCAGCCTGAGATACCTAAGGAAATGGTGTCTCCAAAAAGCAAACATATGTGAGGGGTGAGAGATGGCTCAGTGGTTAAGAGTACTTGTTGCTCTTGCAAAGGACCCAGGTTCAGGTCCCAGCACCTCCAGCATGGTGGCTCCTAATCATCTGTAACTCCAGTTCCAGGGCATCCGATACCTTCTTCTGGCCTCCTTGGGCCTTTCATACTTAATATTAATATTTTAATATTATACTAAATATATAAAATATAATAATCCTTTAATATTTTAAATTCTCCCTTGAAAATACACACACACACACACACACACACACACACACACACACACACACACACACCCCTCCATGTATACTGGTCCCAAGCTGCAGACTCAAAGCTGCTTCTGAAAAACTGCCTTGACTCCCTGTGCTCCGTCTCCTCATCCCTTGCCAGCACAATGGTATCTCCTTCATGGCCTTTTGCAAAGATCTCTGTTAATGGGCAGAAAGCTCATAGAACAGTGCCTCGTGTGTCATAATGAATGCTAGCTGTCAGCCATGTGACTTTAACCAACAGAGTGCTTGGAAACAATGGGGAACGTCTCCAACATCTCCACCATCTCCATTCGTCTCTGCAGTCACCCGAGAAAGACCTCGGGTGATTATCAATCATTTCTTGGTGTTTAGATCTTAGAAGAGGACACATAGAGGACACTGTTTCTGGAAGTTTCCTGGAGTCCTTTTGCACGTCTCTGCCCTACCCATACCCCATTCCTGGCCTGTCACTCACCAAAGGGCAGGGAAAGCTGGGGACTGAGCCGGTGAGACAACTCCCAGGTCCTATACTGAGAGCTAGATTTCCTATATCACTCCTGCTCAGGAGCATCATGGGGCTGATCCCCATCACAGCTGATGGGAGAAGAGCCCACTCCGCCTCTCCTCACAGAACACATGCTACAGGACGTTGCCTAAGGATGGGGCCTTCTGCTCAGAACACTGTGAGGCTTAAGGACACGCTCAGGGCTAGGCATGCCGCAGACTTCCTAGCTTGTGCCTCATACTTTCTCCTGGCCTCCTTCAGCTTTAATGCATGTGTCTAGAACAGTGGTTCTCAACCCGTGGGTCAAGGCCCCACGGGAGTTGCATATCAGATATTTACATTACAATTCGTAACAGTAGCAAAATTAGTTATGATGTAGCAACAAAACAAGTTTATGGTTGGGGGGTCAGCACGACATGAAGAACTGTATTAAAGGGTCACAGCATTAGAGAGGTTGAGAACCACTGGTCTAGAATATAATATACCAACATTAACACAGCTGACTGGACTTGACCATGCCACTAGCTACCTGGTCCATCTTTAGACTCTGCCTCCTCCAGCCTACCCCTTGCCATGCAAGAGGTGTGGCCAACAGCTGATGAAACGCTACCGGCCACACCCTGGACTTCAAGCTCGGGTACCTGGGTCACTCCGAGTAGACCCACACCTGCTAGTGCCTGGAGAGGCCTCTGTGGGGTCGATCCTGCAAAGAACAGACTCCTGAGGAGTTGAGCAGAGTGTGGACTTGTGGAGCTAGAGTCTACAGGCCCTTCTTGGTGTGGGTGGAGTCTGGGAGATGATGGGATGGCTCTGGGGTCTTCATTATCCCCACACAGGATCCTCATGTCTGAAGACTCCATGCTCCCCTTTCCCACATTTGTTGGACTCACTTGGTCACAAAGCCAGCCCCACACACTCCACACTGTGGTTCCCAGGAGAACCCAGGCCTTTCACTCTGGACCCAGCGTTTCTTTTAAAGACCAAATTCTGTTCACCCTTAACCACGGTCAGTGTGGTGACTGGTCGTAGTAGGTCACTGCCAGTGTTTAAAGGATCCAAGCAGGCGTCTTGGTCTAAGTCACCTGGGGCCTTGTTTTTCCTGCTGTTCCTCTCCCATCTCTTTGCTTATAATGGTAACGTCGTCTTTTTCTTTTCACTGATATTTTCTAAGGGAGGACCTCATTATGTCACCCAGTCTTGCCTCAGCCTCCTAAGTGCTTGACATTTACCCCTGTGAACCACCAGGCTTGTATACGCCTGAATTTTTCCTCATATCCAGTTTAGATGATGATGATGACGACGACGACGACGACGACGACGACGACAATGGTGATGATGATATAAGGTGCTGTGGAGTAGGGGTGGGGTGGGGTGGGGGGTAAACCAGCCCTAACATATGATAGGCCCAGGGTGCCCAAAGCACATACTTCTTCAGTCAGAGCCAATATCACCTTAAGCAGGGAACTGTGAAGCCCAGCGTGACTCTCACCCTACCAGCATCCTCCACCCTGGGCTGAGGGTGGAAGCCTGGGTCTTGCTCTTGGTTTTGACAGCACCTCTGATGAGGTGTCAGGACCCTCCGGGCAGTCTCTTTTCTCTCCTGCGCTCAAGTAGTTGGAAGATTTCCCAGGGTAAACACATTAGAAGGAACTCGAGCACCTACACTGAAGCCCCGCCTCGCCTCATGTGGTCCCGCTAGGATCCCAGGGGGATTTGGCAGTCCATTTGGCTTGGCAGTCCTGGAGGCTCCCTGCCTCTCCAGGATGGGGTTTTCGACACTGATCCTCAGCCCCCATGGCCCTCATCCCCCAGGTGTGGCACTGTCTGGGCTCTCATCCTATAGCCAGGGTATCCATAGCAACCTGTGGCACGCAGGGTAAGCACTCCCGAGCTGATCCACAGCCTGAATCTAAGCCAAGCCCAGGGCTTCCCCATGAGTGACTCCAGAGGGGAAGCCGACGCACTGAGGGGGGTCTCGATATAGACAACAGCTCTGAAACGACCACATTCTGCTTTATTGGGTGTTCAGTGGTAATATAACACAGACTTCTTCTTAAGGAATAATAAACACGAGACTTGTATTTTACCATAATTATTTTGCCATTAAGACAGTGGTTACAAAAAAATAAAACAAAAAAATTTAAAAAAAAAAAAAACAACAACAAAAGTACCTTCCTGGCTACACACATGATCAGCTTTAGCACTGAAAGGTCCCCCGGTCATGGGTCACAATCACAAGTTCAAGGGTTAAAACCATCTAGCAGTTAATCCTACATTGATTTAGAGCATCAAGTCACTGCAGTTCATCAGTTCTGAGACACTGTTGACTTACTTTAGCATTTACATATGACATTCATTCAACAGACACAGAGAGCGAGCCGACAGGTAAACATGCTTACACGGACTGCGGAGATCTCCAGGTTTGAAACTGTTGTTTGGTTTGGTTTGTAAGAAAATGATCTAAAACAACCGAAGGCCCAGGGCCCTGTACAAGAAACAGCAGGGAGATGAGTGAGCACTGAAGAGCTGCGAGTGTTTCTCAGAATCCAAGCAAACAAACAAACAAAAATGTGTTCTCCAACTTGTTCAAATTTCCTCTCTAAGTGCAGGTAAGGAAAAAAAAAAAAAAAAAAAAAGCAAATATATTAAGTCAACCAATTTTTTAAAAGTGCAATTTACCTTTAAAATAACAAAAATTAACAACAAACCAAAACCCCAACCATTAACCCCAAAGGCAAAATGCGTGGACACTAAAAGTATCATGGTATTTTTTTTTTTTTCCTGAGGCCCTGCTTTACTCAAATAGATTGGATTCATAAAGGCCTGTGGACCTAACACCACTTACACAGACCTGTACACACATCTGGAAAGAAACAGGACAGAAGTCAGCAAATACAGAAAGAAGCCAGCTAGTGAAAAACTGTCACTATGACAGGCAGAGGAAAAGGTGATAGATATGAGGTGACATGGTCTCTAAGAGGTGACATGATCTCTAAGTGGGCCATGCATTCAATTTACACAGTCTTCTTCCCATGAGATATTGTTTCCTAAGACAGGGTTTTTCCTCTTGTAGAACTGGGCTTGAAGTCTAATGAGCCACAAGATTTCTACCCCTATGAGGACTTCCCACATCGTGTTAGACCTTTTGAAATAACTGGACAGAAAAAAAAAAAAAATGTTTCCCCCTCCACACACACACTGAGAAGTCACAGTGTTCCAGAAGGGCTCCTCCACAGAGACACTGGCCCCATCTTGGTTGGCTCCCGCACAGGGAGACCGGTCCCAACTTGGTGGGCTTGGGGACTGGATTTACACATTTGACCAGAAACTCTGTCACTTCTGCAGCCTAATTCCTCCTCGCCCTTCCAGCACACGTGACTCTATTCTGGGCCCACATGTGACAATACTGGTAACATAATCCAGGCCATCCCTGTGTCCTGCAAGCCTCAAACTCAGATATCTAGTGATGGGCATCGGATAGCACAAAACTATGTTCGTGAGTGCAAAACTAGAGTCCTCTTAGGCACAGCCCACGGCCAAATCAAGATGCCTGGCTTTAAGGGCAAACTACTGGAAGAGGAAAAAAGAGCATTGTCCAGGAAACAAGAAGCAAGAAACCAATTTAAAAAAAAAAAAAAAAAATCTCCCTCCATGAGTGAAGGAGAAAAAGCCAGAACAGACAGAAGATTTGGGGAAATGGTGAAGAGAACCTTCAAAAGGTCTAATCTGCCGCAAAATCTAGGCCAATGAAGAAAACCTGCCTCTTCTCAACAGCTGACCCGGAAGAATAAGGGATGGCGATGTAGGCGCGTGGAGCCTCTCCAGAGGGGCAGCAGTAGCCTGCCAGCCTCAGATCAGCTTAATGGTTACATAATTGCATCATTAGGATGTCCAGTTCAAGACCCATGGATTAATATTGAATCAGGCTTTCAATTTAGTATTTAAAAAAAAAAAACCCTCTCCTAATCCCACCCCCAACCCTCCCCAGCCCCACAAAGAAAACCCCTTTTTAAAAATTTTTAAAAAGAAAAGAAGGCAGCTCAGGGCAATTCACTCTATCTTCCCCAGGACAGGAAGGTGCAGCCGAGGGTGTGACGGGGACCCTCGCTGGGATCTGCTTGGTGGCGCATGTCTGCGTGTTAGATGCAGCTCCGTGTGGGGTGGGTGGCTAGGCTTGGGTGTGGTGTTCATAACTGTGTAGGGGACTTGGGTGAGCGAATTCAGAAACTCCAAGGGGAAACCAAGTGTGTGTGGGGGGGGCCCAAGAGGAAGCCCCAGGAACTGGCTGCCCACAGCAACTATCACAGGCTCTTTAAAAAAAAAAAAAAAAATGGAAGGAAGGAAGTCTCAGAATGTCCTCAGGTGTCCCATCCCCCATCCCCAGGTGGCCCTACAGGCCTAGGGGCTTTAGCCCAGGCTGGTGATGTTGGCACGGCCACCAGGGGGCGCCACGATGCGCTGGGTGGTGCGGCGGGGAATGTTGTCGTCGATCTGAGCTCCTAGAGAAAAGATAAAAAATAAATAAATAAAAGGGTGAGGCTCTTGGGAAATAAAATCAGACTCCTACAGTACGCTCAGGTACACTCTTGGGGAGAGGCTGGGCCAAGCACACACGGCCCTTCCCCTTCCCCAAACCTCACTAAAGGCTCAAGTACAGTGGACCTCCCTGCAGCCCACAAGTGGCTCTTCTGAGGACCCACGCCTCTCACTCAAGAGGAGTACGATGGTCCAGGTATAGAATCCTGGATCTGAAGCTCCCAAACCCAAAATGTTCTAAACCCTAAAAATACTTGAGAGTTGACGTGATATGACGTGTGGTAAATTCCACACCTGACCTGCTATGGCTAACTGTGGTCAGACTTGGCATACTAAAAATACTGTATGAAATCCCCTTCAAGACCTCATGTCACATGTGTATGAAACACAGATGCATTGTATGTTTTTAAGATTCTGTTTTATTTTATATATATATATGAATGAAGGGGGTGGGAGTCGTGCACATAAGTGCAGTGCCTGAGGAGGCCAGAAGAGGGCACTGGATCTCCTGGAGCTGGAGTTACAAGTGCTTGCAAGTCACCTGACATGGTTGCTAGGAACAAACTTGGGTCCCCCACAAGATCAGTGTTCGCTCTTAACTGCTTAGCCACCTGTCCTGTTTGGATTTGGGTCTTAGTCACAAACTAGTTCTTTATCTACATGATATTTTTCCTACTTTAAAAACACAAACTAGCTTCCAAGCATTTCTTTCACAAAAGGGACTGGCAACCTGTGCCATGTACGTGAATGATATGGGGAGTCACATTGTGACTGATCTCATCCTGTAGGGACAGAACTAGGGTTTAAGAGCCTGTCTCCCACACCAAAACGCCTTCAAGTGTCCTGATCCATCATGGGCACATAAGGTACTTTCTAAAACCCAGCAGACATGACAAGAAAAGGAAGTCTGTGTCATGCATTGGGCTGGTGACAGGCCACAGGACTTTGGATGTCTGTCTAAGCTTAGGAAGCGGAGAGAATGAAAAGGCCCTCTCGTGGGCTGGAAGGAAGAGGGGAAGGAAGTTTCCAAGACAGAAAGTCCACTTTTCTGTCACCGAGAGGAGGGCACAGGTTTCACCCCTGCAGATGGCTCATCGGTGTCCAGTGGCTTTGTCCTAGGCAACGAACATGAATGATAACTCAGCGGATGTCACCACCGCCCCACAGGGAGCCACAGCTGTGACTGGCCGCACGGGTGAGAACTGAAGCGTGGAAGGCCTGAGCAAGGTGAGGCTGCTGAGAGCCCAGGCCCCCCATTCATCTGCCACAGTCCCTCTTTAACAAGGGACGTGACAGATTGGAAAAATGTCCCCTCAGTCTACAAGGCGTCACTCACAGGGTGGGTGTCCTCACATCACATGGCACTAAAACTGACCTGCAGATTCTGAAACCCAGTTCATCATTTACAGGTTCACGTCTGGTGGCTGGAGTGTTCCCCGTTGGGGAAAGACGGAGACTACTGTTATCTTTCATTTTCTGCAGTAGCGGAGCCGAAAGCCTCAGGCTGGCTCTACACAGCCTGAACCCTAGAACCACCCAGCAGCCCTGGCCGTACCAGACAAGCTGAATCCAGACTGGTGCAGGTTCCGAACCGGTGGCGCCTGCTGCTTGGCAGGAGATGTCTTAGCTGATGAGGCTGGAGTGACTGTCTTGGGTGTCACAGACACCTCGCACACGGGTCCATCATACAGGCCACGCGGGACCCCCCTCAGCTCGGCCAGCTGAAACACACAATCACCCTGTAACCTGTCCCATTCAGAGAGGACATCTTCCCTGCACCCCCCCCCCCGCAGTGTGGCCAAGACAGGCCAGCGATGCCTGGGGATTAGGGCTCCCCCTTATGGACAGGTACAATAGGAAGAGCCCCTGAAGCTCCAGGCCAAAGCTCTCCCAAGTTGGGTCCCCAACAACGGGTTACTCTACGGGTTTCTTCCAATTTTCCTCCACCAGGTCACATCATCTTTGAACTCTCCAAGAAGCCCCTGATCAGGCTGTGAAGAGGGTCTGGTGTCATTTTCAAGATCAAACTGTCTTTCTAATATCACTCTTCTTTTCATTCTCAGTTTCTGAGCACCATCTCTTTTTTTTTTTTTTTTTTTTTTTTGGTTTTTCGAGACAAGGTTTCTCTGTGTAGCTTTGCGCCTTTCCTGGAGCTCACTTGGTAGCCCAGGCTGGCCTCGAACTCACAGAGATCCGCCTGGCTCTGCCTCCCGAGTGCTGGAATTAAAGGCGTGCGCCACCACCGCCCGGCCTCTGAGCACCATCTCTTCACCATGCCCTGAACACACTCTATGATTTCCACCTAACACATTCCATCTTCCTAGTGTCTCAATCTCCTTCTTTTGGCTTGAGAAACTCTTACTTAAACTTCAAAACCCAAATGTATTCTTCCATAACATCTCCCTCCATGACTCTGCAGCAGTAGTTCCCTCCTCTGGGTCCTTTCCCCTCACTCATCATCAAAGCTCTGATCATCCTTGACTCCTCCAATGTCAAGTTGTCTTTACCTTTCTGTCCGCCATCCCAGGATTCTGACTCACCGTACTTAATGAATGTCTGTGGAGTTTAACTCAATGCATGGTGTGTAAAAGTTAACAAAAATCACTCACCCTGCTCCTTGCCTTGATGCGCTTGTACACAAAGTCAGGGAAGGGCTTCCGAGGGATGTAGCGCCCTGAGCCTTCAGTGACATGAAGCGTGCCATCCTCCAAGACAATCTTGCCCTGGCTGATGACTACCAGTGGGGAGCCACGGCACTCCATGCCTTCAAAGATGTTGTACTCAAGAGCCTGCGGGTGGGGAAGGACAGTCACCATCAGAGCAATCCCTGTTTCTGGACTGGACTGAATCAGTCTGATGAAGCTTACTGGTAAACCCCAGAGAGCTGGAGCCTGTCTCCACTGGCAACCCCGGGGACACGCACTTTCTAAATATGCTCATCAGTGAAGCGTCCTTAGATACTTTCTGACATGCCTAACCTATGAGAGGGTAAGAGACACAAAAGCCTCCAGCATCCTAACCTCTGTTGGCTGAGTCCTGAACTCTATCTCCCCGAGCACAGGTCCCTGGGAGCCGAGGCCATGAACACCATATACACTGGGGCTAGTGGCCTAGGAAGGAGCTGAGGCGAAGGCTTTGGGAGTCATCTGCCCCTTTAAAATACAGAGGGAAGCAGGACCATGATTATAAGGCAATGGTCCTCTGCCTTCCTAATGTTGCGACCCTTTAATACAGTTCCTCATGTTGTGGTGATCCCAACCGTAAAATTATTTTTTATTGCTACCTCATAACTGCAGTTTTACTACTGTTATGAACTATAATCTAAATATCTGTGTTTTCCCATGGTCTCAGGTGACCCTGTGTGAGAGGGTCATTTGCCCCCCCAGGGGTCAGGACCCACAGGTTGAGAACCACCTCTCTGAGTGCTTTTTTTTTTTTTTTTTTTTTTTTTTTTTTTTTTTTTTTTTTTTTTAAAGCTGGCATTCCAGACCTCCTGCCCCTCTCTGAGATAGGGGGCTGGGCCATCACTAAGTATGGACATTTTTAACTTCACATGATTGCTCAAAAAATTATGGAGCAAGTTGGGAATGTGGGAAAATCCTAATGGATTAACTTAACAATAGGGTTATGGATGAGTTAGAGTTTCCACACTGGAGTTTCCAGACCTGGAGTCTCTTGTTTGTGGGACACCGGATGAGCAACGCCACACAGGCATGCTTAATACCAGCCCCTAAAGCAAAGGGCAATGGGGTGTCCCAAGGCTCACATTTCTTCGAGAACATCAGTCAGAGCACAGATACTGCCCGAGACAGGTGTAGATAGAAAAGTCAGCAGCAGCAGCAAGGGTCTTCCCAGACTTTCACTCCTTCCTGTCCTCGTCTGTCGAGGCAGAGAGGTCCCAATGCCAGCTCCCAGCTCACAGTCACCTGTGTCTTTAATGGTCCTGGCAGCAGTTTTTATTCCCTCTGGAGAGCGGACTCCACAAAAGAGGGACTGCACTTTCTCCACCCCACCCTGCTCTGACGCTGCACACGCATGCGCAGGCTGGTTGGGGGGGAGAATGCTGGAAAATTAGGGCTTCTAACTCGGGCTCCACCGCAAGATCACTATGTAATGTGAGAGCGGTCGTGAAGCTCTCTGCACCTCGACTTTATTTATCTTCCCACTTGGGATAATCACACCGGACCCTTTGGAGAGACGGCCAAATGAAAAGAGTGGGAATATGAAATGATACACATGTGCACAGAAAGGGTCACCCTGAGGACGTCACTGAGGAGCCCAAGATGGATGGTACAAGCTTAAGCGGGCTTGGCACTAAACTATGCTGAACCAGCAAGGCAAGATTAGCCATAAACATGGAGTCCAGCAGTCTCCCCATGAGGCACCCACCATCTCGGTACCCACAGGGGCCGAAGAAGCTGGCACTGAGGCTAGCATGCCCCACCCAAACCCTTCTGCTCAACAGAGAGGATTCAGACTGGCAGAAGGCCCGCGCCCATCCCGGAAACGCCTGGACCTGCCCTGCGCAGCTGTGGCACTTGGGCCCAACCGTCCTTAGAGTTTCTGGCCCACTGAGAGGAGCCGTAGCAATTGTGCTCCCCGTGGCGCCTCCTGGTCACTCAGAACTTCACCCAGAGATCCACTCCACTCACGACCATGCCTGGCTCCAAATGGGACACAATGACACAACCCCACACCCCCAAGGCTCTCGGGGAATGCATGGAAGAGGGAACAGAGTGTAAGGGCCAGAGGACCAGGGGCATGCTGTGAGATAGTATTTTCTGACAGAAAGATTGCAGCCATGAACTCACAACAATAAGGTTGTCTGTCCAAGATCACGCTACTCTACTGGAGGGGCCAACCTGGATGGAGGAAAGGCTCACAAAGCCCCACAAAGAGCTGTAGGCGTTCAGTGACTGCTGTGGGAGGGAGAGTCGTTTTTTTCTTCAGGAACTGCCTTCCTGACAGGTTATCCCAATCTAAGCAGTTAGTTTAGCTATCAATCAGACCTTTGGCCAGAGAGAAGGCTGACGCAAAATGGAAGCTCCCAGTGGCCACCTCAGGACTGGACATTTGACTGCTCTAGCTAGGTCCCTTTCTGTAAGCCCACCACAAGAGGTACTGTTCAAACCATGGCAATGGATTGGTGCCTGACTTCTAGAATCTTCTGAGGTTCTGATGTCAAATGTCACTCTAGGGTCTCCGAAAGTCTAAGGGCAGAGGCCACTGAGTCTAAAACATGGCCAGGAGTTGCAGTCTAGTAGGCCTCAATAAAGAAAGTGAGAGTGTCAGTCTGGCCCTTGGAAGGCTGAAGCTACAGCACATCCCTGGGAAACTTCACTCCTACCCAACCGAGGTCCTTCCCGAATCCCTGGACTGGCCCCGTCTCTTGGTACCTGGAGCACACATGTCTACCCAAGATGGGCAAGCCTTACACTGTTGTGTGTCTTGGCAGAGATGGTCTTCACGCTGTCAGGGTCCCAGATGACCAAGTCTGCGTCAGATCCCACTGCGATGCGGCCTTTCCGAGGGTAAAGGTTAAAGACTTTGGCTGCGTTGGTGCTGGTCACAGCCACAAACTGGTTCTCATCCATCTTCCCAGTGACCTGTGGGGCACAGCACACACGTGCACGTGCATGCATACATGTACACACACACACACACACACACACACACACACACACACACACACACACACACGAGGGCAGGTGGTCAGAAAGTTGAAGGTGGATCAGGTTCAGCAATAAAGGAACACATGTTGACATGCAATGCACTCTGGAATTTCCCCTCCAACAAAGCTAGGCCCTCTAGTCAATTTCAGGCCAGCCTGGCTTTCCGAGATACATAGTAAGGGCCAATTACTTCCTGAAGTCCTCCCCTTCCAAACCTGCTCTAAATACAGGAGAACAAGAAAATGAGTGTGCATTGAGAGGAAGAAAAAATTTTAGGTGGCCAAAAGGCATATTAAAAAATTCATTCCAATCAGCAAAGAAATTGAATATCAACTAAGAAAGACAACATTTACCAAATTAGCTGTGTTTTGGGCTTCTGCTCTTAAAACCCACTGAGAAGTGTCATACACCACATCAAGGGTCATAATCTTTGCAGAAGGAATTTTAACAATATGTATTTACGGTCTTAAACAGACTCCCTTTGACCTAGCAATGTTACTTCTAGAAACTTCTTATGCAAACATAATTAAAGATGTACCCAAGGAGATGTCTACATGGATACCCATCTCAGTTAAAAAAAAAAAAATAGAAACAACACAAACACAAAATTTTAGTGAAAGAATTATAAAAAAAAAAATGACTAGTGAAGTCGCCATCTACTATCAAAAAAATCAAGCCTTTCACTGGGTGTGGTGGCCTTTCATCCCAGCACTGGGGAGGCAGAAGAAGGTGGATCTCTGTGAGGTGGAGGTCAGCCTGGTCTACATTGTTAGTTTCAAGCCAACCAAGGCCACATCGTGAGAGACCTTGTCTCAGGGAAACAAACAAGAAGACTGAAAAGCGTCTTGATTCTCATGTGGATTTAAGATGATGACAGCTTCATGACACATTATGGGTCTTTTTAATGGGCTGTGAGGCAGTGTGTGTGATGCTCATGTTACCTGAATACCGACACATACTGTGCACACATGTGCTGACAAAAACTGAAGACATTCCCCAAAATGTTCACTGTCGATTACCTCTGACACAAGATGATTTTTTTTTTTACTCACATAATCTCAAGAATTCATTAAGAATCAGAAAACCTGTTACTATATTTTAAAAATTAAAGTGAAAAAACTTCGAAATTCCCAAGGTCAGTATCTGCCCCAAACAGGTCAAACAGAAGCCTGTGGTGGGGACAATCTCTGAACGCCGGGAGACCTCAAACACACTCCCAACGAAGTGGAATTGAAGCCTGGTGACTGGGGAGGCCACCAGGAAGCGATTTCCTCACTGACACGGGACTTACATGTAATACTCAGAAGGAAATGAGCTACTAGGAACTGCCTTGGAGAAACATCATCTCACAAGTTCGGAGTTTCTAGAATGTTCTCAACTGGCCAACACGAGCCCCACACCCACGGAGACAGGGGCATGCCTGAGTGGTGAGGGAAGTCATCAGTCCTTACCACAGCTTTATCCCAGATAACAGACATCCGCTCCTCTGTGCCGTTGGTGCCCTCGGGAATCAAGGTGAAGTTGTCCTTCCCCACAGCCTTCTGAGCGGTGTTGAAGGTACAGTGGGCACTGCCAGTGACTTGGAGATCTCCACTGTTAGGAGACACATGACATGAGGCTTCCTTACAGGGCAAGGTGCCCCGGTCTGTCTGCTGAGATATTTCCTAAGTGATGTCCCACCAGCCACGCTGGCATCCTTCTGAGCCCTCCCTTCAGAACGCCTGTCAGGATGACCCAGGTCCCTATCAGGAATTCCCACCCAAGACGGTGACAGAATAACTCCTTGTTCTCAGTTACTAACAACCCCAAATCTGGTCAACAGGGGTCTATTTTTTAGCCTGTTCCCAGCGACCAGGTTGCCGCCTACTGGGTCATTTTGGTCCAAGGAGATCTAGGATGCAGATATGAACAAGTCCCTGGTACTCACCAGGACAGCAAGGAGTTGAGAAAGTCTGGAGTGGTTGGGTCGGGGCTCAAGGGAGGGGAGGTGACAAAGGCAGCCGCCTTGGCCCAGTTCTTACTCCAGTAATGAGAGCCATCCGTCCCCAAGCTGGCCGTGATGGGCTCGCCATACACCACGGTTCCTGAGAAACAGAGCAGGTGGCTCGGTCGGACACCCCAAGAACAAGAGACCACTCTCGGCAGACGTTACCACGTGCCCGCACTGTAGCATGCACTCGGGGCTCCCTCCATGGGGATACAACCTCATCTCACAGGTGATGATGCCATGCCGGGACCCTAGGCAGCCAAGGCTACCCAGTTAGCACACACTAAGATATCCTGCTCTATGGACTCAACCCTCTGTCTTGAGGAAGTCCTACACCCTATACATGTCACATACCACTGATCTCCAACTCAAATGGTTTCCAACACCCAGGCCTCAGAACCATCTAGAATGTTCTCTTTCAGAAGATGAGCGGATTTAACCTTACTATGCAGAAGGTGGCCTCCTTGCTCACATCTAACAGCCATCTCCCCTACCCTCTTTACCATGTCTAGTTCTAGCTATAGAGCAGAAACCACAAGGCTGAGGGATCAAAGAGCAAGTAGTGTCAGAATCTTCTAGCGATGCCTGGATGCTTATATGGCCACGAGAAGGGCGCCAACAATGACAGCCATCAGAGCCACAGCTGACTTCATCAGAGTCTACAGTTAGGCCACTGGGGTTTCGGAGTCTCCAGAAGCCCAGCATAACTTCATACGATGTCCAAGAAAGAACGTCAGCTCCCTTGATGTCCAAATGGTATCTTCTCTGTCCCTTTGGAGGAAACCAGACAACCGGGGCCACTTACACTGCCTAATGTCCATCCTTGTGTGTCTTAAATACCTTCTTCCCTTGACCAGGCCTCATCCCTTTTCCTAGCTCATTCCAGCAGATCTTAGGTTTGTGCATGCTTCCTCAGCTCCGTCCATGCTCTGGGACGCTGTGACACCCACGGAGTGTGCAGACACTCCATCTTCAGAGAACACTCTCCAAATACTATTCTCTTTCACACCATCCCTCTAAGACCCTTCTGTGTCATGTCTTCCATGTTTAAACAATAATAAAAAATAAAAAAATAAAAAAAAAAAACCCTACCTTCTCCCCGAACCTCACCTATGTCCCTCATGATTCAAAGCCAAGCTCTTCTTTTTTGCCTAGCTGAGTCTGGCCTTGAACCCACTATGTATGTGGCAGAGGATGATCTTGAACTTCTTATCCTCCTGCCGGGACTCTGGAGAGCTGAGGTTACAGAGGTGTGCCACCAGGCCAGGCTTTTCAGCTTCCGCTCTCATGGCTCAGGCACCACCCCTCCCCTAAGCACTGCATCCTACGCTCAGATGATCTCTCACTTTCAAACTTCTGGACTCTTGATGGTGACACCCGATGATCATTTTTCTGCCTGCACACAGTAGGTACTCAACATACCTGATGATCATTCTGCCTGCACACAGTAGGGCCTTAACCAATGTGTGTCCAGCCAGCTCAGTGGCCTACTGTTTCACTAATTCAAGGCCAGAAAGCCAGAACTCGCTCTCAGGTTACCCAATCCATTTTCCTCTCCTCCCATCGCTCACCCGACTTCTCTTCTCCAGACACAGGACCCTCAAAGCCAAAGCCTTCTCAGTCAGGAATGTGTCTCCCTTCCTCTCCACAGTCCTTGCAGAGGCTTATCACTGGATACTATTCCACAACACCCTCTTTGCCCAGACACTCAAAACTGGCTCCAGGGAGCTGCCTCCTCCTCCTGCCTCAGGAATGTCACAAAGAAGTGGCTGTTCAGTGAGAGGGTGTTGGGAGGCCACAGGCACAGCTGCCTCCCAGCCACCCTCTATAACAGTCTCCAGGCAGGAGGGAAGCTTCTAGAACCGAGGGAGGAGACCCCTGGAAGAAGAGCCAGGAGAGGAACCCGGCATTCCTGACCTGTGGGAAGCCCTCCCAATAGAAGCTGGTACAAGCACACTGGGCCCACACCCCCGAATGGAAAAAGACCGCACAACGCCAAGGCCAGCTGTTAGCTGTTCCTCCGTCCCTCCTGACATACCGTGGCTGAGCAGGAGCAGCAGTGGTTCTTGTCAGAACTTCAACAGATCTGATGAAGTCTAACCCCCGATCCAGCCAATCTGCGAGCCATGCTGTCCACTGCCCACCTCCGCACCAAGGACTCACAGTCCTCAGGGCATACAGGTTTTGTCACCATTAAAAAAAAAATCAGAGCACCGATGGTGCTTGGAGGAGCAAACAGCAGCTCTACATTCCCAGAATGCCCTGGAATTTGTCAGCCTCTGTCCCGTCACTGAATCTGCACCCCCATCCTGGCTCTGGAAACCTGGCTGAGGGAGGCAGGTACGAGGAACGGATGGGCTTCATCCGAGACTGGGGAGAAAGTGGCGCTGCCTGACAAGAGGCTGGGTCCCCTGCCCTCCGTTACTCTAGCATAAGCCTTATAGGACAGTGAACTCAGCCTTCAGCCCCTGGAAACCCCACGATGGGTCGGAGCTTCCAAGATCACTAGGGACACATAATTTCTTCCTTAGACCATCACAGAGTGAGGACTCCTGGCCAACCCAAGATGGAGCCATGCAAAGACCTAGGGAGAGGGAGTCACAGAATTTTTAAAACGTTTTTATTTATGTGTACGTGTGTGCTTATGTATGTATATGCAGATGCAAGTGTGGTGTGTGTGTGTGTGTGTGTGTGTGTGTGTGTGTGTGTGTGTGTGTGTGTGCATGCCAGCAGAGGCTAAAAGAAAGCCTTAGGCCGGGCGTTGGTGGCGCACGCCTTTAATCCCAGCACTCGGGAGGCAGAGCCAGGCGGATCTCTGTGAGTTCGAGGCCAGCCTGGGCTACCAAGTGAGCTCCAGGAAAGGCGCAAAGCTACACAGAGAAACCCTGTCTTGAAAAACCAAAAAAAAAAAAAAAAAAAAAAGAAAGCCTTAGATTCCCCCATGAGGTGGAGTTACAAGTGGCTGTGAGGAGCTCCCAGTGTGGGAGCTGGGAACGGAACTGTGTGGTCTTCTGCAAAAGCAAGAATTCTTAACTGACGGCCCATGTCTCCAGACCTAGCTTTGCTCCAGTCAAACCTCCTGAAGGAGTCCGAGGTCCCTACCAGTCTTTATTTCTAATTTTTAGCTCCACAGATTAGGATAGGACCCATCATATCCAAGACCTCCACCTTCAGGGGAGTGTGGTTCACACACTGAGCTCTACACCGCCCCACCCCCCACTCCATCTCAGTGGCCCAGAAGCTTGCTGTCAGCTCCTCTCCCTGCCCTATAAAGCCTGTGCTGGAGGAAGCCATGGACGGGCTTCCAGAGCTCGCTCAGACCACAGACACCAGTGAGCTGCTGTGTGCCAGCAGTCATTACCACTAATAATAATAAACCACGAACAGCTTAATTGGCCCTTTTTTATGCTTCTCTAAATACACTGCTGATGCTTTCTTGGCGGCGGCTGTAGTTTCATGATTCTCTTCTCCAGGGAAAGTCTAAACTGAAGGATGTGACCCCAAGCCAGACTCTGGCAGACGCTCTAGTCAAGGCCAGGAATGCAGGGGCCTGGCGGGTGATGTTTATTCACAACCAGCCCCGGGCTGAGCACGTTCATGAAGAATAACTGCAAGCTGGGGTTTGAAAATGTTTGACAGCTCCGGGCTCCGACAGTTTGTCACTTCCCGTGAACGAGAAGCAGGATAAATCCAAAGCAAGAACAATGGGAAACCACGGCCAGGGAGCGCAAAGCTCCGCCACGGAAGCCCGGGGAAATGACAGACCCAGTGGAAAGACAGACAGACCCACATCACTCCGCCTTTCTCTTGGAGTGCTCGGGCCACAGCCCCAACTCTGTGTGTGTGTGTGTGTGTGTGTGTGTGTGTGTGTGTGTGTGTGTGTGTGTGTGTGTGTGTGATGCACCCGGGGTGGGGAGTTGCACATATACAAGACAGTGTATCTCATTAGCCTGGAGCTCTCGAAGTAATCCAGCCAGGCTGGCCAATGGGCCCCAGAGATCTGCCTCCCCGGCACTTGGATTCCAGACGTGCACCCCCCATTTTCTTTACACAGGTTCTGGGAAACAAATTCAGGTCCTGGGCTCGCTTGCCAACTCTATCTCCCCAGCCTCGGTTTTGGGTTTTTGGGTCAATATGGTGCTAATATATAGCCCAGGCTGACCTCAAACTAGCAATCCTGCTTACGCCTCTTTTAGCTTAGTCCTAAGGATGATCCCTCACAGTTTCATGATCACAGACCTCTCATGATATGAGTCCCTATCCCTGTGCTGGGATCATAGGCAAATACCATCCCTTGGGATAATAAACAGGATACTCAGGATAAGTTTTCAGAAGTTCCTATAACTGATTCTCTAATCTGAGGTGATTTGGGGGCACTAATGATTATTCTTACAGTGAAGAAAACACATGCAGTCCGCACCACAATGGCGTGATGAAACGCACAAACACCACTGGGAACCCTGAGTCAAATAATTCTATGAGGCAAAGCTGTGGGTGTTGTATCTGCTGCCATAGATCAATTTTTAAGATATTCGGACAGAATGACACTGATTGGTTGCCTCTGCTGGTGCTGGACAAAATGGTTGGAAAGAAAAGAATGCATTTAAGGATTCAAATTCCCAGGTCAGGAGGCACTCTTCTCTCTACCCTGAAAGAGCCCACGTATATCTTACAGAGACAGAGCACAAGTGGCTGAAAGTCAAACCCAGGACCTTAACCTATCTGACTGAATTACAATGCAATCTGAATTCCCAGCCTCCAGGGCGGCTGTTCAAATGGGACATTGACTAGGGAAGGCTTCTGTCTCCACACAGCCTTCAGATGTGAGCGCCACCACCATCTATCACCTACATCTCCAGCCTGCTGGCCCTCTCTGAAGATTTCACACTCCGGCTCCATTACTGCATGAGGCAATGCCTTGAAATAAATCCACCTCTGTCTTCTTCTTGTCCTCTCCGCCACCCCCCAGTGGGCTGTTTCTCTGACTAAGGGACTCTGCTACGAGTCTGTGACATTCACAATCCAACCCACCTGGCACCCTCAATCTCAAGTCTGGTTCAAGATTACTACGTGGTAAAGTAATCCTTAGTTTAACCCTAAGGACTCATCCCCAAGGTGAAATAGTCTTCATGGATCACATGACCACAGGATTTTCATGATGGCCAACATCCCTCCCTGTTGGCCTGTAGGTCAAGAGAAGTCTTGTCTTGGACTTGGGTTTAGTGTTCCTCAGCAGCCATGATTGTTTGAATGTGGCTGTTCTTTGGTTCTAAGGGTGAGTAAGGAGGGGCAAGAAGGGTACCCATGGGGTGACATCAGCAGGTACTGCCCACAGGTTATCACTCCCTCAGGAAGGTATCTACAGCCACCCAAGACTCCTCACATGAACAAAAGGCAGCCTGAGGGAGAAGTCTCCACCCTGGACACTCAGGACAAACAGACGGCAGGTATCTGGAATCATGGCTGTTACTTCTCACTGGCTGGATGATTGGGAACAACATGTTCAGTTTCTGCATTTCAATTTCTCTTCCGTGACATGAGCTTATTGAATCAACCACTGTCTAAATTCTTAAGACTAAAACCCAAGCCAGGACTTGATAGTACAGGCCTATAATCCCAGCTACTCAGGAGGCTGAAGCAGGAGGATTACAAGTTCATGTCCAGCCTGAGCAACATAGTGAGACGTTGCCCCAAAATACCAAGTAAGATGAGGTGCCAGGCTACAGTTTAGAGAAAAAAACGCTTGTCTAACTTGTCTAATGTGCAAGGTTGTGGGTTCAAATCCCAGGAATTCATGAAAATTAAACAGAAAGTAAGAAAGACAAGACAAAATGTATGGATAATGTATTCCAGTCCTGGTGCGGTTAATGTCCCTCTCTGCACAATGAGGTTGGTAAAGGGTGTCCTGCTGCATGGCACAGAATAACAGCGACCGCGGGGTCACTCAGAAAAGGCAAGCTGCCAGCGTGCTGGGTCTAGCTGGCATACAGCTGTAGCCTTCGGGGACCTTTCACCCCATAGTCTCCTGTTCCCCTCCTTTCCCCATTAGCCCTAACACCTCCCGCCTTTCACACAGGACCAGTGGGTCTGTGGTAGGGAAGTTTATGGCAGAGGCAAAGAAGGGCTCGCCAATGTTTACTAACGTTACCACTGTTGTTCTGAGTCCTTCCCACAGCCTGAACCTCACAGGCTCTCTATCCCGTACTCTAGCCCTGCCGTGGTCACAAGAGCACTGATCACTCCCCTCATGACTTTCTGCTCCTGCCTCACCCTCCCGCCAAGGGATGCTTGGGGTCAAGACCACTTTTTGCTCCTGGCACTGAGGCCTAAAACACCGCACAGGGAAAGCACACCATCAACTCCATCTTGGTTTGCTGAGCACACACTCCAGATTACACCATCTTTCCATCCCTCAGTGGCAAGGATGGCCGGTCACTGGACACAGCTCTACCCTCATTATCTCCTTTAAACCCAAGCATCCCTCTGGGAGGGGAGTCACTACCACAGCCATCCCTTTGCAAGTGGGAAACAGACCTTGAGATGTAAGTCACGTGACTGAAGCACCATAAAGTAGGGTCTGATCCTGAACAGTGTTATTCATCCCAGGGAACAAACCCTGATACAGTCTGCTACTGTTCCCTTGGTGTTCAAGAATATTTGTTGAACTAAGCCCCAACCCACACGGACCACAAAAATTTCCCTCTACTAAAACAACCCTCAAGGGGAAAGATGAGTTGGTCAAACATTAACATGGAGATTTGGCGCCTGGAGTTAGAGGCCCAGTCACCAAGCTCAACTCTGCTCTTCCCAAGCTCGGCGAATAAAAGAAAAAATGAAGGCTGCTGCCCGGGCTGCCTCCTGAGGGGGATAAGAAATTCCAACAGGGTGGCAAGAGCCTTCTCAGCCCTCTAGAGGGCTAGAGTCTTCTGCTGCTCTTCCTTGTTAGCACCTGAAGACCGTGGAACTCCCCAGCGACGTGGGTCTGTCCGACTTCAAGGTTTTGAAGGAAGGCAGAGCAACAGCTTGAGTGCCAAGGCCACCCTGAGGAGGATGGCATGGGCACAGCTGGGTTCATGCATGGAAGGTTCTGGAACAGAACTAACTGAACTGCTTCCTCTTTTGGCCAGGCTCAAAGGTTAGCAAAATCAACATTCTGCTCTGGTCCCCAAAGCAGAATGCTGGAGTGAAACTGTACACTTCACGAGCATGCATAGTCTCACCCTTCGGGGAAGGCCAGAGGATTGGGAAGGAACAGAGACTTTGGTGCTGAGGGAGAGCTGGCTCGTGACTCCACCCCAGCTGTGGTCTGTCCAAAGGCTGACCCCTCCCTCTAACCAGGTGAGTCTATGATGGTTTACACTTTGGACAGGAAGGCCACGATACAAAGTCATGTGAATGTTTGCCTTACCTGAGTCCTTATTAGCATATGGGTGCAGAAAGACCAGTAAAATACACAAAATCCGCTGTCTACCATGTCCCCCCTTTCCAGGCACTGTACCCACTGTACCCATGCTACATGGAAGCAGTGGCACCAGGAAAGGTGTTCGGTGTTGAAGCTGAACGCCCAGCCACCTCACAAGTGTGCCTGGGTAACAAAGGACCGCGGGTTCAGTCACCACCTACAGGGTCTCCTCAAAAAATAACTCCAAGCCAACGCTGACCAAATTCGAGATGCGTATTTCAACAGGGAACAGTGGTGCACACCTGTGATTCCAGCACTCAGGAGAGGGAAGCAGGAGGGTCGGGAACTCATGGTCATCCAAAGCTACACAGTGAGTTCCAGGCCAGCCTGGGCTACATGTCTGAAAATACCAAAATGATATTGCTGCTGCTGCTACTGCTGCTGCTGCTGCTACTACTACTACTACTACTACTACTACTACTAAATAAAAGGCAGTTTCTCCAAACAGCCAGGAGAGGGCAGGCTCACAAAAATTAATAGTCTAGCAACTGGTCAAATGGAGAGCCCCAGAAAGCTCCGAAGAGCAGGGGCCAGAAACCACAGGGTATGTCTGGAGGCCATCTTTGGGACAGGCTAACTGAGTAGCCATGGAGCGATTCCTTCCAGAGCTTGTACCCAGTCACCCACCACTGAAAACATCCCACAGCCCCATGTGGATCACACAGAGACGTGGGAACAGCTGTACAGACCAAACCGGACAGAGGCAGAGGGGGAGGGGGAGGGGAGCACCAGCGAGGAGGGAAAAGAGAGATAAATGGAGATACGCGGGCTGGAAAGATACACAAGAAGAGAGATAGGAATCCCTTTGGCAATGTTCACTTCGGATCAGGCTAAGGTTCCCATCAGTCCGTGCCCTGCTTGCCGGCTCTATGTGCTGGGCTAACTCCTAAGCAGAAAGCATGTCACGGTGTGGTTAGCCAGACTCAGCAGCTGACAAGGGAGCTGCTTATTCATAATGTACAAGGTGCTCCACGGAACATCCCCGAGGGAAAGTGCTGGAAGGAACACTTAGTGGATTAGTTTCCAGGACTTGTCTCAGCTTCACTCAGAAGGCATCCACAGTATACTGGCAGGAAGTAACTTGAGGTGGCTAAACATATGTGTCCCGCACAAGACTCTGACTGTCCCCCAGTAGAAACCCCCCCCCCAAGATGGAGGGAAGACACATTTTGCACAATAGCACTTCCCAGAGGGGATCTGTAGCCAGTGAAAAGTGATGTAACCTATGTATTGTAGGGGTGGTTGTCTGTACTTCACCCCTGAAGCATCGCCCCTAGTAGGCAGCAGGTAACTGCTAGGTACCTGCCCACACCCGGGGTGTGGCTGAGACGGGGACCCCTTAAGACCTGAGATGCGAACGTGCTCGCTCTCTTGGCTACCTTGTGATCCTGGATGCTGGATTGCAGACCAAGTCAGAGTTCTCCAGAGAGAGCTGCCTTGGACTGCACCTCACCTCTCCCGGATTCTGTAACCGATCCCTTTGCTGGTTGTAAGACGCCCCAAAATAAACCCCTTTTGACTCTCAGATAAACTACGTGGAATTCCCTCGTTCGTTGCCGCTTTAATGTGTGTAACTAGGCTGTTTACACAGAATCATGTTGAAAAAAAATCCACTTATAGAGAGGGGGCTCCCTGCCCACATGGCCTTGGCTTTCACTAGATACAAACAAGGGCACGGACATGGAACAAAGAGAGGAAACCAGAGCTCCCCGCTCTGCTGGGCTACAATTAGGTTAATGTTGGGACGTGATCAAAGTGGCCCAGTTGGCATGAGGGTCGGAAAGAAAGAGACTCCTCAGTGCGCAGGCTCCTTCCTTCCACCTGCCCACAGTACGTCCGCAAGGCCCACACAGCTCACCCTTCTTCCGTGCCTGGGCGATGACGTCAGCCGCGCTCTTGCTCATCACTTTGGTGACATACAAGGGACAGTTGGTCTGATTGGCAATGGTGACGGAGCGGTTAACGGCTTCAGCCTCGACCTACGGGAGGACAGACAGACAAGCCTGAAGACCCAGCCCACCCTCAGGCCCAACTTTGTCCTCATTCACCAACAGAGACAGATGCATCCCTCAAGGTTCTTTCCCAAGTGGCACCCAGGACATAGATCCTCGGGGCCCCGCCTAGACTCACACTAGTAACTCCGGAATAGAACCTAGCCATGTGGGTTGTAACCACCCTGCGGGATGATTGGCAGGAAACAAGAAATTCTGAAGAGATACTTGGGTCACTCCCTTTAGTTTTCAAACTACTGAAACAATGGTCCCTAAGAAATTAGAATTTCCTGAGGAGAAATTTTATGACGGGAGAAGGAAAAGGCTGAAGCTGGGTGCCTGCCAGAAGAGGAACTTGTCCCCAGAGAAGACAGTTCACACAGTTCTGACTTGACAGAACACCTTCCAGGACGCCGCAGCCAAGACAACGATGGTTGGGAGGGACCTCGCCATGATGGGGACTGCCTGGCTATGCATACTTCTTGTCTTCTACTTAAAAGCTGTTATTTTTGTTTGTTTGTTTGTTTGTTTGTTTGTTTTTTAACTATGTGTCCATCTGTGTGCAGGTCTGTGTACATGAGTTCTGGTGCCTGTGGAGGCCGGAGGCTTTGGATCTACCCAAAGTACAGGCAGGCAGTCGTGAGCTGCCTGATGTGGGTGCTGAGACCCAAATTCAGGTCCCTTGCAAGAGCGGTGTGAGCTCGGGTGCATTCTTAACTACTGAACTAAAGTTCCAGGCTGGCCAGAAACTCCTGATCCCGCCTCCTCGCCTCTTCATCATAGCCCACCAAGTGTACCACCATGACCAGCAGCCTACTGCTTAAACTGAAATTTTGTCAGGCCTCTGAAGATGCGCTTACGGATCTCTCTGTTCCTCTTCCCAGTGTGACTACACTCAACTGCTTCCTTTCTCTGCTTCCAACCACAGCTTATTTCTCTAACTCACCTACTGAGATGACGGTCAAGCCAAGCTCGTCAGGGCGGCCAACGCCCAGGCTTTGCCCCTAGCTCAGGTAACAATTTCACTTCCTCACATTGGAGAAGCACCATACATTCACAGCCCTTGGCTGATCTCAATGTGGCTATTCACTCTGCTCTCACGATCCTGAGTGAGGGCATTTAATGTCTGTGACTCTGGAGCCGAGTCTGCCAGATAACTTGTGCACCCAGCCAGCATCACCCACAAAACAAAACAGGCTTCACAGGGCTCGGGAATGAAGCAGGCAGCAGCCTGCTCTCCGAGAGCGTGACTGGCCAGCCACAGCCTGGTACGACCTTCAGCACAGATGAAGAGCCACCCAAGTCAACCATCTGGCTCTTTATATCTGATCCTCAAGGAATGGAATTTCAGATCCCATGTCAGGTCTGCTGAACGCCCAACCAGGAAAGCCGCCTTGTATGGAGGTACACGTTATGTACAACAATGTGTGTTCGCTGTGACCGATGAAACCTCCCAAAAGGCTACTGCCTAAGGAGACATTGTGGTGTAAACTCTGGCAGGTGAGAAGGGGGGGATGGTCTTATTCTTTCTCTACCCATCATGCCCCACTCCTAACATCCTCAAAGCAGAGCTGGTACCCACTAGACGTTCAAAACTCGTTGCTGCACAAATGAATGGTTTCATCTTATTAATGTATCTTTAAAGGCCAGGCTGCCACTTCTCCCAGGAGAGAGATGTACTCCTCCCTGAGTTGACTTCACTAATCCTGTTCCCACTGGGGCATGGCAGGGCTGGGGTCTGTCGCAGCTCTAAGTGCTCATTCCAGTGAGAGAGACCAAGCCTCATTCACACTCAGCTTCTGGGCATGAAACTATGTGAAGGGAGTCTACAGATCTACAGAAAAGCACACAGCTTCAAAAACACTCACCCAACACTCAAATGTTTCCCATTCCAGGGATGGCTGAAGGGAGCCTCCCTCTGGCTCCCTGGACTCCTTCCCCTCCCGGAGCCTCCTGCTGGGCTGCCAGCTCAGATGTCTCTAGTGTGAAGTGTGAATGAAGGGGACTCCAAGATGCTCAACACTTTGAGGGGAAGCCAGAAACAACCCTATTGATGTCCCAGCACAGACCCTTCACAAAGGGACAGACACACTATAAATAATGACTGGGTCTACAGGCCTGCCCTCAGTAAAGTGGGGTGTGCAATGGCTCTAATTAAGAGGCCAAATGGGACCGGCTTCCACGAAAACTAGTGAAGAAAAACCCTGGTCCCAGGGGTCTGTCTGGATTTGCATACACACTGTGAATGGAATTCAGACTCCATCTGGCCCCACAGAGTGGCCTGAAATTGGACAGAGGCCAAACTAAAATGCCAGCTCTCTGGAAGAAGAGGGTATTTAAACCTCGCTCTCCACCGTCCCATCAAAACACTCCAGCCCCCGAGCCGCAGCAGATAGCGCTGTACGTGCACTGGGCCCTGACGGAAGTCTCTTTACATCTTCTGGAAAGGATATAACAGCTTAAAAATAAAACCTCTTTTCCTTCTAAAGATCTCAGACATCTGGGAGGTTATCTGTGTGGTGTCATAGACTGACCAGCACAAACACACAGGGAAATGACCTATCCAGGGACCCATAGCAGAGTCCAGATATGTCCGGCAGTCTCTGGACAGCCTCTCCCACCTTGGCAACCTGCACAACTCAGGCCAAGCTGGGAAGGTGTCTCTGCGATGGCTTCACTGTACACATCTGAGTGGCCACTTTCCTCACAGGCCCCAGGCTCTGACAGCTGTCCCTTGCTGGTAGCCAGTCACCTTCTAGCCTACATCTATACACTTCCTGTCTGCCTCTGTGTCACCAGCTCATGGGCAGTCCCTTTCAGAGAGGCCCATTCCCCGGCTCAGCTCACTGCCACACGGGGCCAGGCACTGGTGTGATCGGAACACAGGCTTGTCACACTGAACCACCTCCGAAGACGGGGCATCCCTAGAGTCCTGCGTTCTTTAAAAAAAGTCTCCTTTTTTCCATCTTTTTTTAGCTAAACACCAGGGGAAATCCCACTGAGCGGGCCACCTGGTGGGCTGCAAAGAGAAGCATATGGTGGCAGGAAGGTGTTCTGCAAAGCTCAAATGCAAGCTGGCCATCATGGCACCTGCCATGGAAGAGATCCTGACGCCACCACACAAAAGTGAAATCGTTATTTAACGTTGTGTCCTGTGTGCTGCTGGCGGTTTCTTCCGAAGTGGGCTATCCTGCAAGTCCACTCAGAATGGCTCCGTGTTCGATCCTTCCTGCCGCCCCCCTCAGAGTTGAACACACAACAGACTCAGTTTGGCACACTGAACACTCCCCGAAGGAACAGCAAGAGTGGAGGACCCAGAGTCCTGACTATTCTGCCAGCCCCTCCCTCCCTCCCTCCCTCCCCCCTCCCATCCCCTGTCTTTGCACCTCTAAAATCCCTACATCTGGCCTCACCTCACAGGACTGTCATGGGGTGAAATTACTCAGGGCATCATCAGGCTCAGAGCCTGGCATAAGCTGGGCACCTCCAAATCAGCTGAAAAGCCTCCTCCCACCATGCCATGCTCCTAGACCTGCTGGCCCTTGGGGGATGTCTGTAACTGGGCCCCGGGGTATTTTGCAATTCTGTATGACAATAGCCTAAGAGAGGCCACTTTAGCTGAGCCACAGACAAATGGATTGAAGCTTTCTGTTTAAAGGCTCAGTCACAACGGGGGCTCCCTGATAACGATCTCCTTCATGGAGACCCACGGGCATCCTTCCTGTTTCCGTGCTTTGTTCTGGCAAGCTCTGGGATCTGGTGGCCCCAGCTCCTTCACAGATCACTGACCAAACATCCTCCTCTGGTCTGGTCTGTTTCTGGAAGGGACACCTTAAATGTTGAGCCTCCATCTATCCAGGTCCCTGAGGGTCTCCTCATAACCTCTACCACATCTTCACCATCTAGAATGTTCCTTGCAGAACTCCCCCATCATCCTCTTCCCTCAGAGCTGTCAGATGGCTGTTAGATTGACCTTCACCCTTACTGAAGGACCAGCCTCCGTGTGGTGGTTTGAAAGAAAAATGGCCTCCAAAGGGAGTGGCACTATTAGGAGGTGTGGCCTTGTTGGAGGAAGTGTGTCACTGTGGGAGCAGGCTTTGAGGTCTCTTTTGTTCAAGTTTCTCTCAGTGTGACTTTCAGTTGACTTCCTGCACACTGCCATGCTCCCTGTCATGATGATAATGGACTGAACCTCTGAACCTGTAAGCAAGCCAGTCCCAATCAAATGTTTTCTTTATAAGAGTTGCCATGGTCATGGTGTCTCTTCACAGCAATAAGGACCCTAACTACGACACTGTAAAGTAGTGTAATGTTAAAACTCTAGTGATAAAAACTCCTATCTCCCACAACATGATACCTGCAGCCTCTGACTCCATTGTCTAGTGTGGTAACTATGCTTTATAGCCTGGGCTAATCCTGCTCACAGTTTTCAATTGGTTCTGACCACTAGGACCCATTGAGCATGCTGCACTGGGTGAGGGCTCCTCATGTGTGTTTCAGAGATGTAAAAGGGCTCTGTGATTCCATCTTATGTTTGGGGGGCCTGATGGTATTGCTGGTGGGTATGCACATGCGCACACATGCACTCATTTCTTTGAAAGACCAGTGTGCATCCAAATAGCCCCACTTTTAACGGGTACTGGGGGGGGGGGGTTGTTCTGCACAGAGTCCAAGAGACACCAAGTCACACATCCCACTCCCAGATGTTCACCTCCTCTGGTCGGCTCAGCACATGTCCCTCAGGGCCCGTGATGCCCAGATCCAGGATCCTCTGCTGTTCCTGTAATGTGCAGAAAAAGCCAAGTGGTCAGAGGAGGTGGGTTTCAGGTGGCTGACAGCTAGAGAGCTGGGCAGAACACTCCCTAGCAAGAAGTACAGTGGGCCCTGCTGGATCCACAGTGTCATCCCAGACCTCAGAAACGAAGGGGTCACTCCACTAATCCCAGTCCCACTTGAGCAAGATGGCTCAGTGGTTCTCGAACTGTGGTCTTGACCCTTTTGGGGGTCAATGGATGTCCTGCACATCAGATATTTGCATTATGATTCATAACAGTGGCAAAATTACAGTTATGAAGTAGCAATGAAATAATTTTACGGTTGGGGGTCACCACAATATGAGGAACTGTATTAAAGGGTCACAGCATTAGGAAGGTTGAGAACCTTCCCTGGGAAAGCTACAAGTAGAGACACACTCTTGGCCCACAGCAGAGTATATGATGATGCCCAGGTGTAAACAGGGTGTTCCTCAGACTCCATCCAGAACAGCTGCATTGCTGTGCCAAGGGAAAGGGCCTTTCGAGAGTGGGAACGAGCCACATGCCCTAAGAACACTAGCAGGAGATCACTGACTGAGCCCCAGTACCAGAACACCAGGCCCTCTGGATTTCCACACTGGTGTTCAGCTCCCAAAGCTGTCCTACATTCTTGGGCTTGCTTTCTGCAAGATGAAAAAAGAATGTGAGAGGGAGAGTCCCATACCTCTGCAATGATGTCACCATTCTCTGCATGGACTTGAGCTATGGCACCAATATCCCGGATGACGCTCAGCACTTCATAGATCTGAGGAAGAAGAGGGCAAGCTCAGAGACCAGAACCTGAATCTTCCAGGTCAAAGGAAACCCCCTTGGTGGAGGAGAAATGGCATCCAGGCTGCTCTGGTAGGCCGGGCTTAGCCATACTCTCAAGGGGACTGCGTCAGGCCACTCTGCCATTCACAGAGGCAGCCCAACCAAAAGGACAGGAGTGAGGTGTGAGAGGCAGAGGAGGACAGCTCTGCACAGGTGTGGTGAGGGGCCCTCAGTACCACCTCCAGGCCACACGGTATCCTGAGTAGAGGTTACAAGGTTGGATTCCAGAGTCTGGCAGAGCATGACTCCATTAAAGGCCAACTCCATCAGAAACCAAATCTGCCAGCCATGGCCCATTAATCTATGGGCGGGCTATACACACATGGAAGAATGTTTCCCCAGATGGCAGCGGTGACCAGACCAAACAGAACATCAGGAGCCTTCTGAGAAAGACTGACTTTCTTACCTGGGAGTCCGTCAGCTGGAATCGATCTTTGAAAGCCATGTACACGAGGAAGGAGTTTACACCTAGTGACAGACAAAGAGAGGTAGATGCGTGAGTTTTAATAGATACGCCTAAACTAAACAACCTAGAAGACAGACAGTGCTGTTCACACATGGGCGTGAGCCCGTGCATATCTGTGGGAGGAGGGGGGTATAGAGGATGCAGAAGAAGAGAAAAAGAAGTGGAGACGCCATGGGAACAACAAAACAGCTGTGCAGCCACACGCCTGTCATCCCAGCTACTTGGAAAGCTGAAACAGGGGGGTCACACTTTCAAGACCTCTCTGAGCTTCAGAGTGAGTTCAAGCCAGCGTTGGAAGCTTAGAGAGACCCTGTCTCAAAAACCCAAAACTCCAAAGGGCTGGCACACAGCTCGGTGGGAGAGGGCCGGACTATCATTGATGAAGCCCTGGGTTTAATCTTCAGCATCACAGAGTGGAAGAGGAAAAAAGCATGATAGAGAAAGACAGAGAGAATGACAAAGCCAACGGGAAGCTGGGAACAGGATTTCTGGAAATTGTTTTTGGGTTTCTTATGATTTTCCTGTTTGGGGACTTTGAAAGTCTGGCAAAATTAAAAGCAGCAGTGTGAATGTACTCACATAGCAGCATAACTCACAACAATCAGAAGGTGGAACGACCTGCCCCACCCCACCCCACTCCCCACGCCACCCCACCCCATGCCCAGGGCTCATCAGTGGGTGAACAGACACAAAAAATGAGGTCTCTGTGTAAGCCGGAACACCTTTCAGCCTTACAAATAAAATGTGGCTGTGTGGGACAATGGGGATGAGCACAGAAGCCATCCTACTGAATGAAAAACCCAGTTACAAAAGGTAGGTGCTGCAACGCCCCATGTGCAGGAGGGACACAGAGCAGTCAGTGTCATGGACAGGCAACACCCCACGTGCAGGAGGGACAGAGCAGTCAGTGTCATGGAGAGGCAACACCCCATGTGCAGGAGGGACACAGAGCCATCAATGTCACAGAGGGCAGATGGGGTTATCTAGGCTGGAGGAAGAAGAGGGGGAATTACAGAGACAGATTTTCATTTTAGCAAGATGACAATTCTGAAGGTGGATAGTGGTGATGGTTTGGGGAGTTTTTATTGCATTTGTGTGCTTATGCCACAGCATGCACATAGAGGTCAGAGGACAACTTGTGGGGAGTCAGTTCTGTCCTTACATCATGTGTGCACTGGGAATCAAATTCAGGTCATCAAGCTTAGTGCCAAGTGCCTTTACCTGTTGACCCATCTCAGAGGCCCCATACTGATGGATTCAAACCAAGGTGAAAGTTGAGCAAGTCCACTCAACTGCACACTTAGAAGTGATTCAAACTGTGCATCTTGGGCTGGAGAGATAGCTCAGAGGTTAAGAGCACTGGCTGCTTTTCTAAAGGATTCAGGTTTGGTTCCCAGCACCCACCTGATGGTTCATAGCTGTCTATAACTCCAGTCCCAGTGGACCTAATAGCCTCTTCTGGCTTCTGCATGCACCAGGCACTCACACAGTGCAGAGACACATGTGCAAGCAAAACACTCATACACATAAATGAATAATTTTCTAAAAAAATTCTAATGCTATATATGTATATACATATCATTTATCACCTTTTTTTCAAAAAAAAAACCTTTCTCAAAGTAAGTATTTATTCTGACTTTGACAAGAAGATGAATTACAAACTTCTGACTATGAAAATGGCCTTTTCTTTGGCAAGCCATGCTGGTTTGAAGAAGCATTTTTTTTTTTTTTTAATGAGAAAAAAATCCATTAGTTTGGCAAGCAGCTGTCCATCCTAGCATCTTGGAGTTCTTGCCTCCCGAGGCACCAGACCAAATATCCCTGTCCAAGAACCATCACAATTCTAAACAATTGTCTTGACAACCTCAGAGCCTCGGAGCTTAATTCAAGCCACCTGGGGATGCTGGAAGCTGCCTGAGCTAAAGGCCTCTGGGCATCCCAGTTTTTCATTCCATGCTAGGCAACAGTTGCTATGGTAACCTGCCTAGACTGATTTAGGATAGACTGACCCTAAGAATTGGAAGTTAAAATCCAACAGCATCTGGGTATTCTCAAGAAGCAAGAACAGTTCTAACTAGGAGCTAGAAATGCCAGAAGTGTGTTTGGAAGCTCTGGGCCCTAGTCTGGTTCCAAAATGATTTTAGGGTTACCTCTTCAGAGGTGGGAAAAAAGTTACAGTAGCATTGAATGGCCATTAAGGGAAGCTGTTGCCTCCTAGCTGAAAAAAAAAAAATGAGATCTACTTCTGGATGGAGATGTATCACTGTCTCCTCTCCTAAGAGGGAATCACCTGGCTAAGGGACTGCCCCTCTGGAAGGCAGGTTCACCTTAAGCCATGCTAAAAAGATGGGAGGAATAATTACCCTTTAGCTAAGGGAATGGACTTTCCATCCTAGAATTCCAGCTCCCTCCTGGAGTAGGTTTCAGGGCTACAGCCATGAGGCTTCACACATCTGCTCGATTTTCTGAATTACTCAGAAAAAAGAAAAACGTTAACTTTTCCACTTCTTTCCATCTGTTTTCAAAGCGTGCTGTCTCTAACACTCTGAGCTCTGCTGCTTCTCTGAGCTTTTGCAGCCCCCCCTCCCGACACCCCCCATGGCTGCCATGATGCCAGTTTCACCCAAACAGCATAATCTTTCTCTTTCTCTCTTCTCTCTTCCTCCGCCCTCCAGGCAACTCACCTATCTTGGGTTTTTTTTTTTTAAACTCTGTTAAAATGGTTCTTGAGTGTCAAAAAAGAAAAAGTAAGAGTTTGCAGGGTTGGGGGAGGGGGATAGTTACCTCCATGCTAGGAAGGAACTTAAAGAACATCTTAGTCCAATATTCACAGGGCAGATAATAATTCAAATTATTAAGATTCAAGTGTTTCGTGAATTGCCCCACGTCACACAGCTAGTCTGTGGACAAGCTGGCTTCCCATCCTAGAGCCTTTTATACCGGATCTGTGGGTGCTTCCCATCAGCTTCCATGCCTAGATATTTGCCTCCACTTTTCACTCACAGCATGTACTGTTTCTGACTCTGAACTGCTAAGAACAAAAAAATTAGTACTACTTCCCCACAAATCAAGACCCCGTGATACCAAAGAGTGACTCCTATTCCACAGCCCAGGAAAACCATGTGGTTCAGCTCCACTACCTGAGCCCCCCAAGTCTCCTGTGGGCAGGAGTCCTGGGGCACCTAGAGGGAAGTGAAGACACCTCTGTCCTCCCTGAGAACCCTTCCTCCCCAATCCCTGGGATTCTCTGGAGCAGAAAAGGCCCTTCAGGTTGTCCCAGGTTTGAAGAGTCTCATAACCTCCTCAGGGAGCCTCATTCTTACAGGTTTGTATGACATGCTTGCCCCAACACTTCAAAGACAAACCGAGTGCCTCACTGGGCCTTGGAGGGCCAATCACTCCTTGAGACCAGAACCCTCAAGCCAGCGATCGGTCGGAAGCTGTTACACAAGAAGACACCCCAGGGCAAAGCCTTACTCATCTAGGCTTCTGCTCCCACACTGGGGTAGGGTAGTCAGCCTAAGCTGTAGCCTAAAACCTCCCACTGCTTGCTCGAGGAAGGCTTTGAGTGAGAACAAAGCATCTCCGGTGGAGTGGCAAGACCTACCGTGGTCCTTCACCAGAGCTTCCATCTCCTCCTGGATGCCCTTGTGCCACTCCGTGATGTCCACGTGCAGAGAATAGTCGCAGCAGGACTTGCTGTCCGCCCACTCCCTCCATTGATCAAAAGCAGCCAGCAGGCTTGTCCCGGGCTCAGGAACCACATGGTCAACTAGGAAGGAACAGACATTGGTCGTCACCCCGGGAAACGCATGAGCAGGTATTCACCCACTTGAACCCTGCACTGGGCCTCCCGGGTTCCCACTGGAGACAATGATCTCTCCAACAATGTCTAGGAATGCACTTAAGCCAGCTGAGTGCTCCACAGGGAGAAACTTCACATGGGACAGCAGACACGTGAAACCGTGCATGAACTACTCAGATCCGATTTATCAAATCCTCGTGCCTGAGACCTGGGGCGCATTCCGAGGACAATGAGTCCTTATGGACAATGGCAGTGTCAGAGGGCCAGCTAGAGGAGCCAAACCCTTCTTTGTGCTCCCAGCTGCTGTGAGACGCCCCAGTAGACAGTCAGGCCTCAGAGAGGCTGGAGCGGGGCCATGTACGATGGGCCTCTCCAAAGCAGCCAGCAGCCTCCGCGCACTCCTAGCCACTCAGGTTTCTACCGTGTAATTCCACTCTGTAATTTAAGGACAATCTTTCATCTTAAGAGTTTAAAACATTTTGAAGCTGAGCTTGCTGTAATATTATTACTAAGGCAGGCTGATATTTCGGACAAAGACCATGAACTCAGGCTGCTCAGTATGTCCGCTGGCCCCACTGGTTGCCCGCAGGTGCCCCTGGGTACACTGCTCTGCTGTCCTAAGTCTCCGTGCTGCTTTTAAAGGGGATTGTATTACCTGCAGACTTTGTTATGAAGATCACACACAGACAGAATGTCTATCAGCCTTACAGGGCTCCTTGATTTAAATCCCCTGGTGCCTTCCTTTGCACTGCAAATACACTTTAAAGTCCCCAAGGAGCCCTTCAAGAGCCTGGCTGACCCCAACAACAGGACCCCGAGACGTCTCTGTCTTGTCTTCTATCTCCAGCTGAACAGGCCATCTTTCAGTTGCTACATCAGGCTGCTGCCTCTCACCCCAGGGCCTTTGCACATGCTATTACCTCTCATAGGTTCCCTGGAGAGCTCTTGCCCCAGCTTCCTTGATGACATGAGGTTTTCTAGAACTATTATCGCCCATCTTTTGCACACACACACACAACAAAGTACTACGATTCCAACTGAAATTAGCTGTCCAAGGTTCAATCAAATTCATGCAACAATGAGGAAAAGGCTCAGGACTCGGGCTCCTAAAGCAATGAACCATTCCTCCAAAATGGAATACTAGATTTCCTATGCCCAGGTTCAAAACCTTCAGATGCAACTACATTGTGATTGGCATAACTTGGCTTCATACATACCAAAGATATGATCATTAGATACAGCAGTTACCCCTGCCTGGTCATTATACATACATGTACTGCATGTCACACTGAACCTCGTAAGCCAATATCATTACCAGATGGCAATTAAAATAGATGTATTTTAAAACACACTTCTAAATCCTTTTGTCAGAATTCTTTTCTTTTTTTTCACACTTGCTCACTGGGGACTTCTCAGGGACCAGCTCAAAGAACCAGTCTATGTAACCACAGGGCTCCACAGCTACCTAGTATCTAGAACATGGTGCCAACTGATGAGGACTTTGGCAAAATGCTACCCTAGAAACTCCATCAAGACAATTCCAATTTTTCTCCCTAATCTGTGCTCTCTACTACCTACTACCCCCAGCAACAACAAAAATATCACTTTGTTAGCAGCAAGCATTCTGGAGTGTCTGTGGCTCAAGCCCGCCTCCCGCTTCCCTCCCTCTCCCCCATCCCACGCTCCCAGGAAGCCAGGCAGACCTTGGAATACCCTTTATCTGCAGCTGCAATCCTCATGCACATCTGCCAGGAAGGGCAGACTCAAGCATCTCCCCAGAGCCCGGCTAGATCTGACCCTAGCAGACATCTCCAGTCTCCATCACGGCCTCTGTCCCTGACACGGTCGCCATCCATGGCCATCCTGTGGTTCTCTTACTCCTTTGATTCAGTCTGTTCCTGCCCACGCCATGCTCCTTGCTCAGGCAGTGGCCCCTCGCTGAAATCCTCTCCCTCAATCCTTTCTCAGACAGCACCTCCCCATCAAGCTCACGAGACTGCCACCATCTTGGATTGCACTACCACCTGCAATAGCTTCTGAGCGACACATACACACATATACTCACACACACACTCAGAGACACACACACAATTTATTTGCATATACACTCACTCACAAACACACAGACACACACACATATCCTCAGTCACAGACATATCCACACATACACACACACACACACACACACACACACATACACACACACACACACACACTACAAAGCATACGCTCCTCAGAGCAAGGACCATGTTCAGATACAAGAGAGGCTCACTGAATGCCCTATGTAATCACTTCTTGGCACGCACATCTCACCTTTCAATCAGTTGAAAAAACAAATGGGGTTAAGTGTTCCCTCAATATCTGTGAGCAACATTCTAGGACACCCCTAGGACGCCAAAACCCCACAGACACCTAAATTCCTTGCATTAGTATGTGTACACAGCCTGCTACATCCATCTGTATACTTTTGAGGGGAGGCTGAGAATTGATCCCCGGATCCCAGCATGCTACAGTCCACTCCAGACCCCCTCCATACACCTTATAGCCTCTCTATATTGCTTGCTTGCAGGACCTGATGCACTATCACATAGCACTCTGCCTGTTTGGACCTGGTGCTTGCATTGAGGCAAATTTCAATTTTGCATTTTGTAACTTTCCAGAAATTTTTTCCAAATGTTTCTTATTTGCGGTTTGGCTGAACCCAGAATTAATTGAATCCACAGATGCAGAATCTTTGGATCCGATGGGTCAACTGTGCTCTCCTGGTAACAGGGTCAGCTTTCCCATCCAACCCATGGGGCTGCTATGAATCCTAGAGACCCTCCTGACCCACCCCGCTGGACGAGGAATGTTCCTTCTACCAGACATGGTAGGAAACCGGCCTTCCTCAAAGCTGATTTTTCTAAAATAGAGGTGATTTTAGACAAAGGTAATATTACATCTACTCAATCACCAGCACCCTCCATCAAATCAACCAACTCAACTTGGTACATTTTCTCTACATCTTTTTTTTCTACATGCTGTATTTTATTCGATTTCCTTATCTATAGTCTATCTCCTTCCCAGAAGCTTTAAAGCGGCCTTAAAAAGATACCCAAGCTAGTCCTGACTAACACACCAGAACGCAGGTGTTAGAGGCAGGAGGAGCTTGACAAGTGTGAGGCCAGCCTGGGCTACATAGTGAATAAGCCAGCCAGAGACACTCAGGAAAAATAGATAACAAGAAGGAAGGGGAAAGAATGGGGGGACATTAAACAAATTCAAGAACAAAGTTGTATGTTTCATGTTTGTGTGTGTGTGTGTGTGTGTGTGTGTGAAGACGTACATAAATGCATGCATAGTTGTGTGTACATGTGTGCAGACCTGTATAAATGCTTTGTTTATGTCTTTGCATGTTTCCACCTATGCAGAGGCATACATGCATGCATGCATGTTTGCATCTACGTGTGTACGAATCAGTAGATGAACGTTTTGCAAGCTTCCCACATCGGCTAGACTTCAAGTTAGGCTCTCAGGCCAGGAAGTCTGACATCAAGCAGATCTCTTTCCTGGGAACCATTGCTCAAGAGGACACTGGGAACAGCAACGCTCAGTCTGGGAATAATGCTCAACCCACTGAGTATAATGACCATTTCAAATGTCTTAATACTGCATTGGATAAAATGGTTTACATCTACACGGTGAATGCTTTGATTTGCCCATTCCAGAGAATAAAGACTAAATTCCCTAAGTTCTGTCCCTAGACAGGCTCTTTCATTCTATTTATCCTGTCAGTAATAAACATGGCTGCTTTGAGATACTCTTAAGATTTCATATTTTTGTTTTATGTGTAGGGGTATTTTGCCTGCCATGGAAGTCTGTGCACCATGTGTATCCATGGTGCCTACAGAGGCCAGAAAAGGGCACCAGATCCCCCTGAAACTGGAGCCACAGGTGGTTGTGTCACCATGTGGGTGCTGGGAACCAAACCTGGGTCGTCTGGAAGAGCAGCCAGTGCTCTTTAACCACTGAGCCATCTCTCCAGCCTCCATGATACGCTTTAAAATCCTATGTGAGCTCCTTACCATTAAAACATACATGTTCATGCTCCCCCAGGGCTGGGCATCAAACCTAGTGTCTTGTGCGTGGCAGGCAAGACCATTCCTGAGTAACTGAGCTACACTGCCAGCCCCTCTGGCTTTTATGAGAGAAAAAGTTTCTTTCAACAGCGCACTTCTTTCCGTAAGATCTGTCTGTTTCCTTCTGCACCTAAGGAGCTCCACGCAGGATGCTCCACGCAGGATGCCTGCTCCGGGGACAGCAAGCAAGGAGCCTGCTGTGGCTCAGTCTCCACTCACCCTTCCACAAAGCTGTAGGGACAGTGGCCAGAGACACCTTCAGATCAGTAACAGGACCCAGAAAGAGACTCAGACACTGTGACGCCATGCTTCTCCATCTTCAAGGAACACGAGAAGTGTCTTGAGTGTAAACCCCGGTTCATGCCCTCACCCCTTGCCTCTGTTCTGGGACCACGGGTCCAGATGGGAACCTGAGGAAGTGAGTTTCTGATAAGCAGCCATTCTGATTCTGGCTGAGGACGGACTGTTTTTCCATTCGCCTCTCCTTCCATTTCCACCCACTAGGCCTTTGAGGGCCTGTCCACCACACAATGGCAATGCCACTTTCAAAACAGAACCAGTTCCCTAGCTACAAGGCTAGGCCCTCCCTCCACAGCCAAAGGCAGTATCTGATTAGTGAGCTGTGGGATCCCCAGCACTTGAAACAGGCCTATTTCCTCTAAGCTAATGACACTTGCAAACGTTTCCCTGAAATGCCTGCATGAACTTTCCCACCGTTCTCCTTCCATGGAAGGTCTCCTGGGAAGAGCTGTTTCTCGGGAACAGGGCAGAGGGGTCATGACCATTTCCGGAGGGAGCAGGGGTCCTTGATGAGGATGCAAAGCAGAAAACCCCTCACAGAACATCTCT